ATAATACATGATAAATTTTCTAGTCAATGATCATATTTTTATGCTAAATATGATTATCATCTACAACTTGATATTTTTGACTTTTCACACATTGATAGTTTTGCAATAGAAGATTTGAAAAATAAATTATTTGAGCTATATGCAATAATAAAGATACAATTAAGTAAAGCTCAAAAATAGCAAAATATAAATATAAAAATATAATTAAGTAAAATTCAATATAGATGTTTATTTTAAAGAAAAATATCAATTCTTCATTAAAAATAATATATAATTATTTAATTATAATTTTAAGACTATTTGTTTTTATAATAAATTAGATTATTATAGAATTGAATATTTTTTTATTTATAAATAAATCAATCTAACTAAATATTAATTACATTTATTACAGGCAATAAAATCCATTATGTATTCCATAAGTCTTTTTTTGAGCCATACAAGACAATGGATATATTAGAAAGAAGAAAAATGTCATATCCTTCTATAAAAGTATACAATAATCAAGAGTTTTAGGTAAAAGAGAACTTAGACTCAAGGAGACATCAAAATAAGTTGGAATATCTTATACATTGATGCAAATATGATATTAGTGAATACAAATAGAAGCCATACAAAAAACTTGCAAATAGAACAAAGCATGTTGATATTTTTTTTTATTAACAATATCCATCAAAATCAAGATGAAGAGTCAAAATAGTCAAGGACATGAATGTTGACAAACTAAAAAATCAAGATACTCTTGTGACACTCAAATAGATTAGATAATCACTCAAAGATGCTAATATATGATATTAGAATGGCTATTGCCAAAGACAAGTCTTGAAACAAGACTAAAAATTAAAAAAGCATTGACAAGCCTCCACATATAGTATTTAATTAGGAACTATGTGACAATATTCTATAGGACCTCCAGCACATGTTTACTTTGGAAGATATATATTTTAACTCACAAAGTAAGTTTTCTATATGGATGCTACATAATTAGCTTGTTCTATAAGCTATCAATATTAGAAAACTAAATTATTTGTTTAAAAGTTGGTAGTCTATAATTTTCAAAATACAACAATCGAAGTGGAATAATCTACTCACTTCTTAAAATAAGACAAGAATAATAAATTAGTCTTCTTGTCAAACTATCAAAGACATGAATTTTGATGAATTGAAAGACCAAGACACTCTATTATCACTGAAAAAGATTAAATCACTCAAAGTTGATAATATATTAATCTAAAATACTATTGCTAAAAACAAGGAGACTAAAAAGTCTTGAAACAAGACTAAGGACTAGAAATGCATTGACAAAAGTGAAGAAGGCTTTACTCATGTCTTTATATATACTATTGGAGTAAAAGTTATATGATAATATTTTGTAGGACCTCTAATATGTTGTCATATAATAACACAATTATATAGTGAAAATAAAATATAGATGTTATTATGAAAGAACCTAAAAAAAAGATATAATAAAAAAATAATAAAAGATTTAGTCTTAATATTAAATTTCATAGAAGAAACTTCTATTTACTTTGTAGAAGCATAAATGAGCCAAATCAAAGTAAATAAAATAGAAAATTAAAATAGACATATTTAAAAAATAATTAACAATAGGTTTAAGGAAAAATTGTCTCAAATTACTAAAAATTGATAACCAAAGAAGACCGGTTATCAACATAGATCAAAATCAAATCCCAAGACATGTAACCACATCCATATGATGACTTTAGGGTTCTTTTGATGATCAAAAGAAGAGATTTGAGAGCATAATTGAAGAGAGACTTTTAAGCATTGGTTTTATATCATTTGAATCAATATTAATATTTTGAGGGATTTTCAAAATTAGTAATATTCTTGGTAGATTTAGGTTTTGAAAAATAAAAATATGTTTACAAATTTGAAGGTTTCTTGATTTTTGAAGTTTATATACAAATAAAATTTGGACAATTTTTTGGTGTACTTATTATGAATATATATGAAAAATTTTAAATTAATCAAATAGTTAGATTGAAGCATATAAGGATTTTTGTGAATTGAGGTGTCAAAAATTGGAGTTTGAGGGTGAATAAATGTTTCTAAGATCTTTGGCAATTTGCCAATTGGATTGGAGTGGAAATTATTTATATGGATAATAGACTTGATTTTTGAAATTTGTGTGAGTTTTGAGAGAAATTCAATAGTTTAAGAAGGAGATATTAATTTTAAAAGTTTAGCATTAAGGTTGGAGTAGGAGGCCACTTAACATCTAATTGGATTATCTTGTATTTCTTTCAATTAGTAAGTACAACTGATTTCATCTTTCTTATAAATGTTTCTAACTAACTTATTAAAAAGTTTGCAAAATTTATATTGATATCAATGATTTGATCATTAGTTGTTGAAGTTTAAATCTACTATAGGGTTTCTTAAGAATTTGTTTAAGATTTAGAATTTGATTAGGATTTGCTTAGGATTTGGTTTAAAATTTGTCTAGGATTTAGGATTTTATTAGGGTTTCAATTGAAGTTTGACTTTGAATTTGGTTAAGATTCATTAAGATTTTAGTTAGGATTAAATTAAAATTTGATTAAAATTTATTTAAAGTTTTTATTTTTAGTATTTTTTAGGATTTTTCATTACTTCTTTAAAAGTTTTTATTTATAATATTTCTTTAAGATTATTATTATTTCTTTAAAGGTTTATTTTTATATTTCTTAAAGATTTATTTTTATTTTACTTTGAGATTAGTTTTGAACTTTTTTGTATTTCTTTTATAACTTCTTATAAATTTATTTTAAATTTCTTGTAGTTTGATTAGAATTATTAAGGTTTATTTAAATTTTATTTAAGATTCTATTAGATTTAATAGGATTATTGTTGCATTTCTACTTACCTTCAACAATTAGGTGCCTATTGCATTCTTCAGCAAGAATACACATAACATGAGAATGTGTTGACTTTGTTAGATACAAGTTTTAACTTATAAGGCAAGTTTTAAATATGTGTACCACATAGTTAGCTTGTTCCACAAGCTATCGATACATATGATAGACAATTAACTTATTAACCAAATTTCTATCCTACCAATCAATTACAAACATGTGTAAAGTCAAAACCACATCTATGAAGCTACTAAGAAGCTTTTCTAGAAGATATTATTAAATAAATCTATTTTTATCTACATCTATTTAATTATATAGGTAATTATTGGAATAAATACATATGTTGATGACAAAAACATTCTTTGCTATAAATTTAAATATGTTCAATGAAGATTGCATTCTATCTTTAATTTTTTTTTTAAGTAGATTCTTTGTATTTGTAGCTTAAAGAAGATAGAGA